CAGAGTCCCCTACTTCCACTATTAGGAGTTCCACAAGAACACCAAGCTATACAACCATAATGTATATTATGACCTAGCTCAGACCCATACAGACTTCCTGATTGTCACTTTGGTCTCTGTGAACCCCTATGAGCTCTGTTTAGTTGATTCAGTGGGTTGTGTCCTCCTGGTGTCCTTGACCCCTCTGGCTCCTATAATCCTTCCTCTCCTTCTTCTGCCTCTGAGCTCTGCCTCATGTTTGGGTGTAGTTATCTGAATCTGTTCCCATCAGTTGCTGGATACCTCTCTGATGACAATTGGACTAGGAATAATTTCATTGACTTTTTTTCTTTTCTTTTCTCTCTCTCTCTCTGTTAGTTGTGTTTGGTTCTATCCTACATCTCTGGGCTATCCAGGCAATATCAGGCATGGGCTCCCTCTCATGGAGTGGGCCTCAAGTTGGACCAGTCATTGGTTGGTCATTCCCACAAGTTCTATGCCACCATTACCTCAGTACACCTTGCAAACAGGCAGTTGTAGGTCAAAGGTTTTGTGACTAGGTTGATGTCCCTGTCCCACCACTGGAAACCTTGCCTGCTTACAGAAGATGGTCAGCTCAGGCTCTGTATCTCTATTACTAGAAGTCTTTACTAGGGTCACCCTTGAGATTCCAGGGGATTTCCACTGCACTAGATTTCCACATTCCCTCTCAATTCCAGTCATCTCTCCTAGTACTTCCTCCCTCCATCCCTCCCCACCCAGTGACTGATCCATCCTGTTCCCACCCCCACCTGCCCCCAGTCCACTCTCCAAATCGATTCTATTTCCCCATCCCAAGGAGATCCATGCACCCCCCCCCCAGAGCCCTCCTTGTTACTTCTCCTCTCTGGGTCTGTGGATTATAGCGTGATTATCCTTTCCTTAACAGCTAACATCCACTTATGAGTACATAGCATGTGTGTCTTTCTGGGTCCGAGTTACCTCACTTTCTAGTTTTTTTGTTTGTTTTTAACAGCTGAGTAATACTTCATTGTGTAAATGTACCACATTTTCTCTATCCATTCTTTGGTTGAGGGACAGCTAGGTTGTTTCCAGTTTCTGGCTATCTATAAAGCTGCTATGAACATAGTGGAGCAAGTGTGGTAGGATGGAGCATCCTTTGGGTATATGCCCAAGAGTTGAAGCCCTTCAAATTTTAAGCTTTGGTTTTTCTAAGGTTTTCATTGGGAGATATATTTAAGTCATGATACTTATTACAGTACTTCATAGGAGTATTTTTAATGAAAACAAAACAAAAAAAATCCCTCAGTACTTCTTGTGCAATCTTACCAAGACACAGAAAGAACTACAGAGAAAATATGAGCTGAGTGGTGATATAGGAAGCACATGAAGTGACCGCTGGAGAGCTTCAGTAGAACTAGCTCAGCCAGAGTCAGAACTCAGGAGGCTGAGTAACACTTTAATCTTTGTACCACACAGACACAGGCTCAATCTCAGGCCTAGCTCATCTGAGATCAGTTCATGTAATCTCAAGTCTGTGTGCGTAAACTGAGACTATGAAGGAGGCCTGCTGCAGAGCAGGATACACTCCCACACAGAGCTGAAGAGATGACATCAGATCAACAGCTGTCACACGAATGAGCTTTCCTGCCCCCCATAGATAAGAATTAAGGCACAGAATAGCTTACTGCCAAAAGTCTAGTGATTTCAAGCCAGGCTGAACCGAGGCTTAAAATACTCTTGATGCAAGCATGCAAACTTGAATCCGTACTTTGAAATGGATGGTCCCACAGAGCTGAAGCTATGGCGTTGGGAAGGGTGACTACCAAGCTGCATCCTATAGCTTCCTGGAAAAGAACATTCTCTCCCAAGTGGACTGATGAGCCATGGAGACAAAGTTTAAGTGTGAGTCAGATGTTTATGGTGCACACCTTTAATCCCAAGGCCAGCCTGGTCTACAAAGCGAGTTCTAGGACAGCCAGAGCTATATAGTGAGACCTTGCAAAAAGTTTAAGTGTAACATACAAATAAGAATTTAACACCAAAAAAAAAAAAAAGAATTTAACACCTTATGTTTATACACTTTATGCTTTATAAAGGCCATAACTAACATATCATTTGGCTACAACAGCCAAGACCTACCTGTCTGTGACAGGAGCAAAGGAGAATATCATAAACAAATAAAAAATTTAAAATATATTTACATGTGAAAAAAATCTCGACTGATTGTGTAATAGTTTCTCTTAACAGAAGTCTACATTTCCCCTAAATTTATGTCTTCTATGGTGTAGTTTAAATCAAGGAGCTTTGACAACACTCACTTTCTTAGGAAGAAAAAGGTGGCTTGGACTCCTTTGAAAACCAGAGAAATGACTTTTAAAAAATGTAAAAATAAGCTATATGATCAAAGAAATAAACTAACACGAGAAGCTGGTTAACTTCCCAGGTTCATTGCACATGACCTTTGCACATTTCAATAAGGGTGCCTAAGAGATGGTCCAGGGTTAGCACTGGCAATGTTGAGCCCCAGGAACTGTGTCTTAGAAGGGAATTCCACTCTGCTTGTGGCACCGTCTTGGAGAGGGTACACCTACCTTGTGTTCATAATATACACAGAGACCTGACATGGTGGACACGCTTCCTTTTCCCTCTTCTCTAAAAACCCGGAGGTAAAGCTGATCCAGATTCAGTCATGCTTCAGTTAGCACAAATCTTCCAGCTGTTTCCTGCAGACCAGCATCCTCTGTTGTAACCTACTTGGCATCATGGTCAGACTTATCTCAAAGTCATTCTGTATCATTCCTCCCTTCTGCAGAAATCTAGTGTTTCCCGTTCATAGCACCGGTTAAAGTGGTATTATTTTTTAATCTGCATCACAGGTCATTCATTTCTTCACTTTGTAAAGGGAGCCCAAGCCCATCATGATACAACTTGTCATGAGAACAGAATTTGAAAGCTAAGATCGAAAGTCAGATGATTTCTCCCCTACTCAAATGACAATATATTAACTCACAGCACCACCTACCTTTCAGAGAAAGGGGAGAAAACAAGGCTTATTTTCCAGATAAGCCCATATGGTTTGCTTAAACAATTAATAGTAAAGTTAGATTCAAAGAGCAAAAATAAATTAACAAATACATACATACATACATACAAACATACAAAAACAAAACAAGGGGGAAAAAGGAAAAATTGAAGTTCTACTTGTTATTATGTAAACACTTATAACAGTGTTTATACATTACCTGGAAACGTTTCATTCAAGTCTGGCCAGCAGCATCCAGGTGATTTTAATGCAACACAAAATACCGGGCAAACTGTATTATCCTTACCTACTAAGTAGAAAGTACAATTCGGGGGAACAGCCCGTTTTGATTAGAGAAGGTAAATATTCATTGATACTTTCTCAACTAAACATCAGCTAAAATGGATGTTGTTTTTCCCTCAGAATTTTTTCTATGGTTAGGGTGTTTCCCTTGTTTAGGAAAAAAAAAGTGACAAGGTATACACCATTTTTTTGCCCCTCAGTATATCTGCCTGCTATCAACAGGAGTGTGGTGTGGGAGGGGCTTGCTGATGCACACACAGTTCAGACCATGTACACATTCCCTCATATCAAAATCATCCTTTGATCTCATGCTACGATAGACAGGATTCTTTCCATAAATGACAATTTCCTTACAGGAGCCCAATTGTTTCAGAGATATTAGAGAAATTATTTTTGATCAAAAGGGGCAAGCATCTGAGCCAATTATTACCTAATTATTAAAGAGATCAAACCATGGGAGGCAACCAGGTTGTGTCGCCCATGAACTAAAATGGCTTCAGTTGAAACAGTGCCTCTGTGCAAGCTAGGCGGGGACCAATGTCCTTAGCATCTACAGGAAATGGAGGCGCTACTGAGAATGAAATCCGTCCACAAAAGACAGAGTGCAAGTAAAGGGTTATCTATGGCTGTCTCATGCTCTAGTCCTCGGGTGTAAAAATTAGAGAGGAGGCTGAGGAGAGGGCTCAGAGAGTAAAGTACTTGCCATGCCAACCTTATGACCTGGGTTTGGCTCCTCAGAACCCATGTGAAAGCCAGACACAATAACCCTACCTGTTCTCACAGGGGGATGGGAGACAGAGACAAGAAAACTGCCAGGAGCAAGCATGTCAGCTAGCCTGGTGTACACAGCAGTGAACAGGAGATCATGTATCAAACAAGGTGGAAAGCAAGAATCCACACCCCAGGTTGTTCTCTGCCTTCTACAAACACACCAGGGAGCCCATGTCCATACTCACACAATATTTAAAGACTTTCAGCCAAACTGACCTTGAAAGTAATGCAACCCCTAAAAGTTATTTTGAAAATGGTATTTGGTAATAATTTTAAGTTAATTTGAGAAAAGTTTTGAAGAGTACACTTTAAAATGGCTTCTTAAAACTGAATAGCTGAATTAAGTATTTTCTTAGCAAGTGATATACTGGGGCACTAATTATTTTTGAAGGTTCTTTTGTTAGGGCTATAGTTCATCATGTCACACTTAATACAACTTGTACTGTATAGTCTTTCTTCTGGTGGATTTATGTCAACTGACACTAAGGAGAGCCTTTCTGTGACTGGTGAATTAAATTACCATTCATTACCATCCAATTTAAATATTGTTATCTTGCCAGAGTTGCCAACAGAGAGAAGCTGTTCTAACATTAATGATAATGAGGGACAATTTGGTTCAACAGATGGAATAAAAGAAGGCTATTTCCCTCTGTTCTGCTTCCTAGGTCTTCTAGCCTCTTTTGAGACAGGGTCTTACTCTGTAGCTCAGGCTAGCCTTGAACTTATGGGAATCCTTCAGCCTTGGTCTCTCAAGATTATAGGTGTAAACCACCACGCTGAGCTTATCAGCTACTTTTCTATTTTGCATGTCATATTAAACTAGAATTTTTTTTATTTCTCACATTTGACTGTACAATACAAAGTTGATTACAATGCCTTAACAAACAACATTTTGTATTTAAAACAATACAAATTTTCAATGTGCAGTAAGAGAGAACACAATTTATTTCCATTTATTCCAAGTCAGCAGGAAGAGCTTACTGCTGAAGTTTAGATCAACTGCAGCTTTTCAAGGAAAAATCCTCCCAGTACTGTCTGTGAGATGGAGTCCCACTGTAGCCCAGCCAGCTCGGACTCAGAGCTACCCTCCTTCTTCAGTCTCTCAAATGCTCGAGGTGACAGATGCAAACCCAGTCGCTCCCCTAACTTTTATGAGGTATGGTCTCTGCACAAACAACTCTCTTGTTCTTCTTCTTCTTTCTTCATTTTTATTTTATTCTTTAAAAGTTCACAGTGTCACAGAAGTGAAAAAGAAGACTGGAAATATATAGCTAAGACACTTGGCCTTATATACACAAAAGTTTAATAATGTTGTCACAACCCCTAATAAAATGTAATCCTTATTTACTAATCCAGAATAAACTAACTGTACATATTAAATTGTTCCAGTATATCAAGAGCACTGCTTATAAAAAAAAGAGGTCCCAATATGGCCGGACATCTCTTTGAAGGTCATTTATAACTTCAACATGATTAAGGTAGAGTTCTATCTATTTTTTAAATTATACAATATCATACATTTACAATTATCCCCAAATTTCAATGAACCAAACATGGATGTGATTTACATCAGTTTAATACCCTCCTGTACAGCACCAGAGGTTAAAAATGGATCTGACTAAGCAAATGTTCTTTATTAGTCACAACTTATCATCACACATTTCTATAATAAATGTACAGGGAAAAGGAACACAGCTCAGGCCCAGGCTTTTGCCTTATATAAATAAGCAGTAAGCATTTCATCTACTTCATACTCACACTCAATTGCATATCTCGTTAACAACTACTCAGTAAATGGTCTTTGAAGGCTACGCAAGTCGCATGGGATTCTCTAGGTTTGCTTTGAAACTTTCAAGAAACCTGGTAGCCAGTTCGTCATCAACCACTCGGCTGTCACTTGACATTGTGACAGTTATAAGCTGGTGCTGCCGCAGCTGGGGGTTCCCCTCTTCATCCTCTGCGAGCTTCAGTACTGGTCGGAATCTCCCAACTGCCAAAATACAGGCCTGGGGAGGGTTGATGACAGCGGCGAACTCATCGATGCCGAACATCCCCAAGTTGGAAATACTGGAGAGGGAGAGAAAAACTGCTGAAGGTAGCGTGGTCCCAAATACATATTTGCTGTGGGATGGTCTGTATGTCAAATGTGTTGCTGATTGGTCAATAAATAAATCACTGATTGGTCAGTGGCCAGGCAGGAAGTATAGGCGGGACAAGGAGGAGAAAAAGCTGGGAAGTGGAAGGCTGAGTCAGAGAGACACTGCCAGCTGCCACGATGAGAAACAGCATGTGAAGATGCCAGTAAGCCACGAGCCATGTGGCAAGGTATAGATTAATGGAAATGGATTAATTTAAGATATAAGAACAGTTAGCAAGAAGCCTGGCACGGCCATACAGTTTGTAAGCAATATAAGTCTCTGTGTTTACTTGGTCGGGTCTGAGTGGCTGTGGGACTGGCGGGTGAGAGAGTTTGTCCTGACTGTGGGCCAGGCAGGAAAACTCTAGCTACACATATTTGTCCTTTATTAAATACCTGTAGTTTGCTACTGAGCCTTAGACCATGCTACTTAAGGACAAAGAGTATGTCCATCAGCAGACACACAAATATCATAATTATTCTCGTACAGTCAGTACTCAACTAAAGGTCCTAATCAGTGACATACTGCAAGGAAAAGAAATGTGAAGTGGGACTAGTGACGGAAGGAATTCAGCTGTTAGGATTTACAGCTGCACTGATGGTCTACACAGAAGAGCTAAAACTCAACACAGAAACAAGATTACTAAGTGAATTTATGTTGCCAGGCAAAAGGCCAATATCATTATATGATATGTAAGTTATTAATATTTAACTATGAAATTTGAAAATAATATCATTTAGCATAATGCCACAATAATAAAGCATATTGGGTAGTAGATTTAATGAAGATCTATGACCTCTACAGAGAAAAGAATAAAACAAATGAAAGAAATCAAAGCATGCAGAAAAACCCAATACTGGCTGAATCGCCAAATTTAATGCAGACCCCCAGTCAAAATCTCAGCTAGGCATATGCTGCGTATCTGTCTGAAAAATGACAGAGGGACCCTAAAATTTGTTGGGCTATGAGGAGCCAGAAAAGATAATCATGAGTGTGAACAAAACTGGAGGGTTTCCTTTCCAAGCATATGACAGTAGTGTTTTAATGCTAACTGAGCAAGAGCCAGGCAAACAATGAGAACACGACATGGAAGCTGAATAGGACACTCAAGTCTCCTTCCCAGTGCTACGGGAGATAGCTTTCAGTATGCAATCCTGGGTTGATCTCATGTGTTTACGGGAAAGAAAGATCCTTGACTCCTACTTTAACCCACGTGGAACTCTAATACCTGATGGACTATGATCTAGCTTCCCGTGAAAAGAGAATGGCATTGCCTCCCAATGACAACCTGAAGGCACTTCACTGGAAAGACCAAAGTTCCTGACAGGAGACATATGGCACCAACCATGATGCAAAACACGGGCAAATTTAAAACATCACCAGGAGAGTCAGAGGCAAGGAAGAAGGATCTGAAGCCACCTGACCTGTACATGCATCCTACAGAGACTGTACATCTGCCTGTGTTAAGTCCTACAAATTGGTTTTAAAAAGCAGATGTAAGACTTTAATGACTTCATCTGATGAACTACCAGGCAACCAAATAATTGATGAAAAAGAAAGTGTTCATCACTATTCATTGGCATGTTCCTGATCCCAAAAGCACCACTAAAACCCCCCAAGAAATGGCAACATTTAAAGCCTAACATTAAAACGCTGTCAAGAACACAGAGCACTAGGACTCCATGCAATGATAAGAGAAGTGCAGAGCTGTATAGCCATTTTGGAAAACTCTTTGACAGAAGCTATCAAAGCTTTTAATCCAGGAATTCTACTTTCAGGACCACACAACAAAAATATGCACCCTAAGACAACGGGAAGCATGTGCATGGTCTGGAAAGAACTTTAACACCTATGGGAACGAGAGTGACATGGCTGCACTGACCCAGTGGCCACCACACACTACAGCAGTGAACGAACGAACGACTGCTTCAAACAGCAGTCACAGTGGAACACTCGTCAACACAACGGCAAAGGGCTAGACGGAAAGATTACCGTGCTCCTACAGAGTACTATTTATGTGCTTTGTATTTACATAACGATAAAGCAGCAAAATGAAGCCATGACCACCTTCACAATGACATCACCTTTGAAAGAGGGATGACAGCCATTATAGCACTTTTAGAACTTGTCAGACCCCCCATCCCCCCAAAATAGAAAGAGATGACATTAGGAAGAATAAAAAGCAACATATGAAGATGTGTTCTGTATCTTTTTTTGGGTGGTATCATAGTTCTTCATATTACAAAATATACAGGCTACATTCAGTATGTTTTATGTTAGTGACACTTAAAGGTAGAGCTGGTAATGAAAAACTATCACAGGTTCATTATTTAGATGATAATAATAATAAATCACGAGAAAGGAAATGGCTGAGGTTTATAACTCTACCTTGCTTATAAAGTAACTAAAAACAAAAGTTGGAGAACTTGAGCATCATTTTATGATGCTAACAGCTAATAAAAAGAATGTTTATTTCACAACCGACAGGTCCCTCTAGCTGTGCCTAACTATCCTGAGTAATACTTTCACATGCCTGCTATTTAAAGTATATGATATTGAGCCTATATTTTTAAAACGTCTTAAACAAACACACAAAAATGGCTGACACGGACTGAGTAAGTCTTATTCTATCTGCTTGATGCTACTGATAATTCAGAGTTGGAATCTTACCTAAAAGAGCCTCCTTGGTACTCCTCAGGCAACAATTTTCCATCTCTTGCCTTCTTCGACAGAACCTGAGAAAAGAACAGAGCACAACAACAAAATCACGCTCTAGGTAATTGTGTCCCTGGGAATATTCGTACAGGGTCTACTCTCGGGTTCAAGGCAAGTAGTAGATGTTTAAACAGACAACCGGACTCTCGGGTTCAAGGCAAGTGGTAGATGCTTACACAGACAATTGGAGAAGTCAAACCTCAACAATGCTCCTTGAAAAGCTTTCGAGCTCTCAAGTACCAACACTGGGCAATGGTCCCATGCCTTCTATACACAACACTTTACATGCTGCCTATAAAGCTTTTTTCTTGTACTACAAAAATATTAAAGCTGGCATTCTTGTCAATCTCATAAATTTTGGAGAAATTCTAATAATGTACATGTCTCGTCAATTAAAAGGATAAGCCTGCCTTTGCCTTTTAATGAAGAAATAAGCAGAGTACAGGACCTAGGGTTTGCTACTATATATAACTATATATAGTAATATTAACTACATTATAATATATATGTAATATAGTAACTCTCTATAAAACACATACAAATGATGTAGTAATGATATTCTGCACATCTGAATTTGGCTGGAACTTGCCTTTAACCCCACACTGACATCTTAGGGGTGAATAAGGGTCAAGAAGTGAGTAAGTAGCACCGGTTTACTTAGCCAGAGGACCACAGATGGGTTTATAGGGATACACAGGCCCTTGAAAAATTATCAGCAAGTTTTATTAAAAATACAAATTCATTGAACAACTAACTAGTGGATTCCGAGCACTTCCCAAGAATTGGATCTATGGTGATGAACAAGGTAGTTGACATCAGATGGCAGAGAACAAAGAACGGTCAACAAATGAACACATTACTTTGAAATAGTTTGGCAACGGGGTCATGGAACACAGGACAGGGAAATGTACAAGCTGTGGATGCTACAGAAGGCCTGTGAAGTAGCACTGGAACTGATACAAACTGAGAAGGAGCCAGGCAAGCGAGGGTCCAGGAGAAGCTGTACATTGCCAGCATGAGTCCTGGGCCAATCTGCCCAAGATCCAGGGACCCCTCAAAAAGATGGCTCCCGCCTGCCCAGGCAAAGAGCCACGGAGCTCTGATCACACATTCCTTCATAGCCTTTACTGCTTCTTTGGTGGATGACTGGTAACTCAAGCCTCTCTGTTCTGAACTTTCTGTCTCAGCATCTCTATCCTGAGCTACATGATTGGTCTAACAGCCAGAACACTGTAGCTGCATAGCTACATTTCTTTTCTTCTATGTAGCCATCAGGTTACTGCCGTGTGTGTGTGTGTGTGTGTGTGTGTGTGTGTGTGTGTGTGTGTGTGTGTGTGGTGGGGGGGAGGTAACTGCTGATTCTTCAGGGATTTCCATCTGTTCATCTCTTTAATATGGAATATGTTTTTGTTTGTTTGTTAAGAAAATATTACTGTTTAGAGGAACAATGGCCTCTAATTGCTCAATGGCCAAACAATTTGGTGGAAAATGTAAAGCTTGCCTGTTGGTAGCACATTACTCTAGGGCCCAGCTGACAGACAGGGTTGAGTGAGAGATCCATCACTTAACAGCACAGGGGCTTACACAAATTATTTAAGTGTTTTCCTTATCAGTTTATCAACCTCATGAAATTATTATTTTGTCCTTGATAGGATGTCTTTAAAGAGAACTGAAGAGAATTAATATGTAAGAAAAGCTTACAGGACTAGCATTGTGGTACACAACTTCAGTCCTAACACTTGGGATGAAGGCAGAAGTAGGTGGATCTCAGTGAGTCCAAGGCCAGCCTGGTCTATAAAACGAGTTCCAAGACAGAAAGCCAGGGCTAAGTAGAGAGAACCCTTTCAAAAAGGAAAAAAAAAAAAGCTGACACACAGAATGCCAGCTGCTGATATTACAGTCATTCTTGTCACAGTTAATTATACACCTTTAGAATTCTATAACAAGATTGCAAAGCATTCACTTAAGAGACAGTCATATTAGTCTACATAGTCACAAAATGATTTTACTTCTAGAATTAAAATCATTTTAAATTTTTTCTGTTCAAACACAAACGCATTATATTTTTGAACAAGACACAATATAAAATCTTCATATAAACAGCAACAAAATAGCAACTGTAAAGTGACATTCTTCCAAAACTGGAACTTGGCTTGCCTACCTTCCCTGGAGGGTAACGAGTCAAAATTCCACATGAAAGCATAGGCGAGTAAGTGCATTTATTACCAGAAGAGCTGCAGCTGAGTCATCATGACTAATGAGATTAAGCACAACACCTAGTTTAGTGCCTGGCTCCCATCAGATCAAGAGTGGCATGCTGACCTGGGCTGGAGCAGCTGTGCCTTCTTCCGCCAGTACTCGGCAAACATGAAAGGTGCTGGGACTACTTCCTCATCTCTGAAGCTAAGGTTCTTTCAAATGCAAGGACCAGAGAATGCTAGCATAGCTATTTTAATAATGTGGTATTACAGTAGTAACAATTGCCAAATTGCTCAGAACCAATGAAACCTGTAATAGTTAAAGTGTAATGCACATAAAGATGGGGGAATTCCAGCTCTACAGATCAGTGACTTCCACCTAGCATTTTAAAAATGTTATTTCAACACTTAATCTCATTTCACCTTCACAACACTGAAGTACATGTTTCTTAATAGTGCTAACAATCCTTGATAAATAAAGTTCATGAACAGGAACTTTCAGTTACCTGTAGCTTCACTTTGTGGCACTTTCAGTTACCCTGTGGTCAACTTACAGGCTGAAAATATTTAATGGAAAATTCTAGATATGAATAGTAATTTTGGTATTACATGCTGTTCTGAGTAGCATGCTGAGAGAATGGAGCTACACAATGCATACGCGGCCTCTCTGGTCCAGCATCCTCATGTGTATATACTACCTGCCCAGATGACACTTGAGCAGCTCTCTCCACCAGATCAAGTCTCCTGGCATCACCACAGTGATTACTACAGTGTTCATGTTCACCTAATTCATATTGTACTTAAAATGTTTCCAACGGGCAAGAGTAATGATGCTGGCAATTTTATTACATGATACCGTTATAACTGTTCTACTTTAGTGTTATTGCTAACCCCATACTGTGCCCTATTCATAAATTAAGTTTTGCACAGGTCTGCATGTACAGGGAAAAGTACATGTAGACAGGTTTGGGGCATCTATGAGGGGGTCTTAGAATGTATCCCTTGTGGGCAATAAGAAACAACTTATGTTATATCCTGGAAAATCAGTCTATTAACTTTGACTTTTGAACTGACCTAACTAGTACAACCTTTCAATTAAAAAATATAGTTATATTTTAATTCATATAGATATATGTTGCAAATCTTTTCAAAGAATGAAGAACTAAAATGTTAGACCCACTAAATTCATCTTTATGTATAATTCTAAAACTCTAAGTAAGATAATTTTTTATAGCTTTATGCTTGAAAACAGACCAACTTGCAATGTTTACTTTGGGCAAATAGAACCGTGAGCTCCCCAAGGAAGTCTTATCCTCTGCCTTTTATCTATTACATAACCTGTTGTACCAATCAGTATAAAATACATCCTTGCTATAGGAAAAATGAAAACAATCAATCAAATGAGTATCAAAGTTTCAATGTGAACACTTCAAGACCCATGATACTTCTGCCAAGGAACACCCTTGGGAATTACTGTGGCTGTCAGAGTTGACCTGTATGCATCTCTACTTTGGAATGTGGTATGCTTTAGTGACAAAAATTCCTTCATATTGGACTTTAAAACTTTCTTTTCAAGAGATTCAAGAAAAACTAAAGTATCTTTGCTTTGGTTTCAGTGGTCTTAATTTACAACTTTAAAATCTACCTGAACTAACACTGTTGTGCTGGCTAGTCTATGCTAACTTGACACACAAACTACAGTAATCGGAAAGGAGGAAACCTTAACTGAGAAAATGTCTCCATAAGACCTGGCTCTAAGGCATTTTCTTAATTAGTAATTGATGGCAGGGGGCCCATTGTGGGTGGTGCCATCCCTGGGTTGGTGGTCCCGGGTTCTTTAAGAAAGCAGGCTGAGCAAGCCAGTAAGCAGCACTCCTCCATGGCTTCTACACCAGCTCCTGTTTCCAGGATCCTAACTTCCTTCAGGGATGAAGAGTGCTGTGGAAATGCAAGTGGAATAAACTCTTTCCTCCTCAACTTGCTTTTTGCTCATAGTGTTTTGTCACAGCAGTAGAAACCCCAACTAAGACAATCTTTAAGATTTAATTTTGGACTTTGAAAAGTTAAGGTTTTGTCCAGAACATGAATGAAGCTGACCTCTAATTTAGCTATATATAACTTTTAGAATTTTTAAATGTTAAATTTCCTAAAATAGGTAACACCTTGATAAAAACTGAAAACCTAAATATGTAAGAGAAACACTTGAGATCACCACTCCTCCCCACAAAAGCCACAGTGCAATCTGATCACGTCACGAATCTCGGAAGGAGGCTGAGACATGGCTCCACGGTTAGTAGTGTGCACTGCTCTTGCAGAGGACTAGGATTCATTGCCAAGCACCCACAGTCACAACTGCCTACAACTCCAGCCCCAAGGGCATCTGGACACCTTCTGGCCTGAGGACACCTGTACTCACACATGGACATATCCTCCCCTGACATACAGACACATTAAAAAAAAGGCTCTCAGCAGGTGCTAAGATGAATGTATAGTCAACAGTTTGAGAGCACAGTCTTCTGGACACAGACCTTTACAGAGTCAGCGATCTCCTGTACACCCTTAGCAGCGGCATCCTTTATGATTGGTGTAATTAAACCTTTATCTGTTGCCACAGCCACTGAAATGTCAACAGAGGGCAGCTGCTTTGGGCCTTCTCCATCCCAGCTGACATTAACCCCAGGCATTTGCTGCAAGTAGAAAGAAAACATGCTATGAAGGAAGCAGTTTGGGATTAAAGTGGTCAGAGAAATATGACTTACATTATTGCACATGTGACTACATAAAACTTTGGTTTGGAAAAAACGGCTTGGATCACCATTGATTACTGCTCATGTCTGGGAAGAACAAACACTTTTCGGCAGTATGACTGAGACAATTCTGATGATATACATGTTTTAAACTACATGACCAACATGACCTTGAGGGAGACAATGCAGCAGAAAACAGTAGTAATATTCAACTACTTTCCTTTGTCATGAAAACTCATCTTTTTAGCACAAGTCTGTAGTACATATTAAAAGTAGTGAGTCCTCTATTTAAAAGCAATTTCCTGAGCATCACAAACAGGAGATAGACATTACAGATGCACAGGTACAGATTTAACATAAAGAGAACTACTCTGAAGGATGAAAAGAATATATAAAATGACTAAATGCCTGGCAGGTGTGTATTGATGTTACCAAGTATCAGAGGAAGAAAATGGTGCTGAATACTGAAATCAAAAGGCAGCTTCTCTTCTCGGGAATTCTCTGCTTTCTGCAGAGTAAGGCCCACAGGTCCAGGTGTGTCGTTTACCAACAGAAGAGCAGTCTGCCTCCACTCTGCCTGTCTCACTGTGATTGTGCCACTCTGCCAGGATGACTTTCTCCCTCTATGTCTCTACACAGTATGTCAATCATTCTTAGATGGTCTCTGTATTGTTCATTCACAACAATGCTACAATGTTAAAACAGTAAAAAACAACATCCTAATTCCTCAAAAGATCATACAAACTATAAAAAACAAGGGGCCAGAGAGACGGTTCAGGTTGAGAGCTTATACTGCTCTTGTAGAAGATCAGAGCTTCTAAATTGGATTCAAAACAATATTCATAATCTTAACCCTTTTTACAAATTATTAAAATTAATTCCACACTCAAGTTTTATAACACAGACCTAAGAAAGGGAAGACACACATAATAAAACAAAGTAAATGGGAACACAAGTCTGCAACAATACAAGCAAGGGCATTTAAGAACATCTCAGACAACATCAACACTGAAGAATCAGAGCAGTCAGAGGCTCCAGACTAACACGGTTGGGAAACTACACAAGGTGGGCAACTTTCTGGGAAAATACATGCTTCAAAAATGAAGAGAAGGCTGAAAATCAGGCAAGCAATAACTATGAAGGTAAATGAGAAAGCACCAAGGTCTCATTAAAATCAACTAGATTTGGTGATTTTTACTGGTGAATTCCATAAAACTCTAAAACTAAAAGCCCTTCTAATGACCTGAAATGAGTATAGGTAAGGATAAGAAAAGAGCCAGAACTCACTTCATAAAGTCCTGACAGGGCTGGAGTGACAAGACAGCGCAGAGGCAGAGCACCTGCATGCATGGGCAAGGCCCTGGGTAATCAGACTTAAACCAGAACAGAACTCTGTAAAGTAACAACTGCAGAAACAAACCATGAAGGCTTGTGTTTACGCTGTCACTCATCGTCACTGCTCAGACTTACTCTGCACTTAGTACAACAGGGGACAAATTAGCATTTACTGAATAAATCGTCTTTATTCTGCTATAATTACTTTGGGAGTCCTTTTGATTCGCAGTGTCTTTACCTGTAAAGCAAACAAAATTAAACAACAGGATATTTTTAGCAATAAAATTACATACACTCTAAGCCAAGAGACATTTAGAAGCCACAGTTAGTTTGCTGTGGCCACTTACTTTAAGAGTAACAGCTGCTGCTCTGATGATAAAGTCATTCACTGAGACTTTAATGTCATCTGAAAGAAAAATTGGCATATTCAAACCAGTATTTGTAACACTGACTCTTATGATTTCAAACTTGTAGATTATGGACATGTCTGGCACACAGTGATGAAAATACACCAGATCTGTATTTGCTTTGTGAAACAGGATTCCTTGCTTTAGCAAAATGTGTATTACACGAAGTCCTACACACAGTTTAAGTCACAGATACAAAAGCTCACTTCTAGGGCTGGAGGTACAGCTTAGCAGAAAACTGTGCTCACTAGGCTCAGGACCTTGCATTCTATTTTCAATATTCTTCCCCATCAAAACGTTCACCTCTAAGCCTTGCTTACCATTTTGTGAAGCTATTCAGAAATCATGCACAAGAACTTGAAGAACACATTGCAACTACAATCAAATAAAAGGCCCAACTAGCACGCCACTCAAGGGCAAACAATCTCTGTACTTGTGCAGAGGTTTTTCTCATTTTCAAATGTCTTTATTCTATGCACATTTTATACTATATTGATAATATTAGAAAACAGTGTATGTAAGTACATTAAATAGATGACTGTATTTATAAAGGGCGTCTAACATTTCCTTTTTTACTAACAAGGTGTATGACAAAGAGAATTTAAGACAAGCTCCTTTAAGCATTAAACAGGGGCTTAAATGGGAGCTGCTTTTTAACTCTATACCATAGGATACAGCAACTGCCAAAGATGAAGTGATGCTGGCACTGGTCCTAGTGCAAATGCTGAGGATCTCTGTGAATTTATGGTAAATCTATGTGGCCAAATTTCCTTGCAGTATACATAATAATTTAAGGACAAAGCTGAGTCCCCTCCCTTCTCATGTCACTGATCATAACCAAATGTTTGACTTTTCCCTTTGCTACTGCCAATGGGTATGATGGCACCTGAGAGGTAAAGCATACCCCTTTCTTTCAAGAATTTGTAGAAAGACTTCATGGTCAAGATCTAGCGAATATATGGCAAGAAACATGTATCCTGTTACTGCGCCATCATGGAGTTCTATGCGAACAACAGCTCACTACAAAAGTATTTGGGAGATTTTAGATAGAGCTTAGACAAACTGCAGCAGCCCTCACACTGTGAAACCATGCAGTAAGTATCCTCCACAGCAGTCTTCTAGTCACATATCTAGAAATATATAGACATTCTGTTTGGTTTGTTAAAAATCTCCTCTAGGAGTAGAAATCTAAGTGCATTGCCAGTATTTGGAGACATAAGGATAACCACAGGCTAAGGATTTGGTCTATACAAATTCAAATGGATGGCAGTCATATTAGGAACTCACTCTGTTGACCTCACCTAGCCCTGTCAGCTGCTCACAAGCATACAGTGACAATCCAGATTCCTACAGCCAGAAGCCCCAGTCAATGAAATGACACCCCCTAAGCCCTCACCTAGAATGCAGTCCTCATCGTACTGCAGCACATTATCACTTTCTTCACCTTCAGCACCTGCACTACTGGCTTCCCTGGCTGCTCAGATTCTCCTGGTTTTCTCCTCTTGACTACTCATTTCCTCTTAGTCCCTCATCTCAATGTTCTTATGTCCCAGACAGGAACTTCCAGTTCCATGGTTCTGATGTCCTCATATGATAACTCCCCCTGCTGTGGGATGTTCTGTATGGCAAATGTGTTGCTGATTAGTCAATAAATAAAACACTGATTGGCCATTGGCTAGGCAGGAAGTGTAGGCGGGACAAGGAGGAGAATAAAGCTGAGAAGTGGAAGGCTGAGTCAGAGAGACACTGCCAGCCGCCATGATGAGAAACAGCATGTGAAGATGCCGGTAAGCCACGAGCCATGTGGCAAGGTATAGATTAATGGAAATGGATTAATTTAAGCTGTAAGAACAGTTAGCAAGAAGCCTGCCATGGCCATACAGTTTGTAAGCAATATAAGTCTCTGTGTTTACTTGGTCGGGTTTGAGTGGCTGTGGGACTGGCAGGTGAGAGAGATTTGTCCTGACTGTGGGCCAGGCAGGAAAACTCTAGCTACAAATGGCGTCCAACGTGGTGGCAAGAGTTTCCACCTAAAAACTGAGAAAAAAGATTCTAAAACGGAGCTAAAAACAGCTTCCTAATTGTCTCTCTCAAATGAGCGGCAGCTGCCAGTTTGAGCTACTTGTGGGTTCCTGGCATGTGCACTTGACCTGCATATGGCAGGAATGAGGCCTCTGCAAGTGGCACATTAAGCTGCATGGTGGATTTAGACTTTGCTAGCACAATACAAAAAAAAAGAGGTTTCTGGGCTACGTGCTGCTTGGATAAAAGCATAGACCCACGATAGCTCCCAGAGCTGGTGGTAAACGTAGCCATGATGGGAAGCTGAGGTGGGCGGAGCCAGCAGCCACAGCTGCTGCAGTTTAAGGCAATAGATTCACAATAAGACAGATTCAGATGTAAAAGTTTAAAATGTGTGTAAACGTAGGCTTGAAAGAGGAAAAAAAAGGTGATATATACAGTTATATAAACAAATACATAGTTTTAAAAAAAGAAAGTCTTTAAAGAGACAATAAAATTAATATAGAAAATAAGCCACGTAAAGATGAATATTACACAGAGAATCTGGATTGTGTCGTCTTTGGGATTCTTTTTTTTTTTTTAAATTTATTTATTTATTATGTATACAGAAGAGGGCGCCAGATCTCATTACAGATGGTTGTGAGCCACCATGTGGTTGCTGGGAATTGAACTCAGGACCTCTGGAAGTGCAGTCAGTGCTCTTAACCTCTGAGCCATCTCTCCAGCCTGTCTTTGGGATTCTTAACTGCAGAGAGATATTTGATTATAAAGGAAGCTGAGTTAAACCAATATGTATACTTTAAAGATACCTTGACTTCAAAATTTGGATATAAGGATATGTCGCTTTGGAAAGGAGACTCTGCTTTTGTTCCCACAGAAAGCCAGAGGCTATGGATTTGTTCCAGATTAAGATACATCAGGTTTGACCAGCCAAGACCACCTGAAAGGTCTCTGATGACACCATGGCCCAGATAATCCAACATCCAGAATGGTTTGAAGGCAACTGGCTCAGACGATACAGCCTCACGGACTACTCCATGATCCTAAAATTTTCTTTGTGTCCCCATAAGATACAGCGCCCCCCTCCAGCAGGAAGTAGTAAGAGAAGCTACGCCCAAATTCCCAAATTGTATGTAATTGTTGCTAGAGTTTTCCTGCCTGGCCCACAGTCAGGACAAATCTCTCTCACCCGCCAGTCCCAAGCCGCTCAAACCCGATCAAGTAAACACAGAGACGTATATTGGTTTCAAACTGTATGGCCGTGGCAGGCTTCTTGCTAACTGTTCTTACAGCTTAAATTAATCCATTTCTATTAATCTATACCTTGCCACGTGGCTTGTGGCTTACCGGTACTTTACATCTTCCTTATCCTGATGGCGGCTGGCAGTGTCTCCCCACTCAGCTTCCTGTTCTCTCAGTTTTCCTCTGTTAGTCCCGCCTATACTTCCTGCCTGGCCATGGGCCAATCAGTGATTTATTCATTGACCAATCAGCAACACATTTGACATACAGACCATCCCACAGCATGTAATTTTACTTTGTTAAGGTTAAAACCTTCCTTTTTGAAAAAAAAAAAAAGGGGGGGGGAAGTGCTGTGGGATGTTCTGTATGGCAAATGTGTTGCTGATTAGTCAATAAATAAAACACTGATTGGCCATTGGCTAGGCAGGAAGTGTAGGCGGGACAAGGAGGAGAATAAAGCTGAGAAGTGGAAGGCTGAGTCAGAGAGACACTGCCAGCCGCCATGATGAGAAACAGCATGTGAAGATGCCGGTAAGCCACGAGCCATGTGGCAAGGTATAGATTAATGGAAATGGATTAATTTAAGCTGTAAGAACAGTTAGCAAGAAGCCTGCCATGGCCATACAGTTTGTAAGCAATATAAGTCTCTGTGTTTACTTGGTCGGGTTTGAGTGGCTGTGGGACTGGCAGGTGAGAGAGATTTGTCCTGACTGTGGGCCAGGCAGGAAAACTCTAGCTACATCCCCCCCATTCCATTTCTAACTTTCATGTTCAGAGCTTCTGGACTGTATATCTAGCTTCACATAAGATGCTTCTATCTCCAAAGCTATAGGCTTCTCAGATCCAATGTGTGCAAAGGTCAACTATTTTCATTTTCAGTTTCTTACTATGGGAAATTTCAAGTACTGATGATAGTTACTAAACACATAGTTAAGAAACTGAAGTTGGTAATGCTCACCTATAACCTAGCATTGGAGAGCTAGAGATAGGACGATCATGAATCTCCACGGGCTGCAAAAAGAACTTACCTAAAAATACCAAATAAACAAACCAACAAAAAACCCAAACAAACCCTAAGTACCAATTAAAATCCCAGATGTACACAGTTTCACTCTTAAATTCTATCAACATTAAAAAGAGAATCCCATTCTACCAAACACTTCCATAAAGAAAAGGAGGAACATTTTCCAACTTTTCTACACGAGCTGAAGACAAACCTTGGGAACACAAACAAGCCCAAGGAAAGAAAAGCGGAAGGGCAGTATTTCTTATGGGCATGTGTGTAATTATATAACAAATATGAATATAGTTATACATAGACAGACCATCTTGGAACTTTCAGTCCTCTTGTCCCAGCCTCCTGAGTGCCACTAACACCCAGCCGATGTAAAGACTCTTAACAAAACGTTAATAAGATCAGCTAGTACATGAAGAAGCTTTGAGTGGGGGATATTGGGTTGATTCAATAACTGAAGTTCAACCAATGTAGTTTGGCATCTTAACCAAAAGGGAAAAGTTCTCTCAAAAGATGACCAAAAACTTTTTGACAAAAGTTCGGCATCCACTCATGCTTAAAATTCTCAGAATACAGAGAATGGGAATTTCCTCAACCTGAAAACGATCTATAAAAAACTTACTGTAAATGTTAAAGATTGAATGCTTCTCCCCACCCAAAACACAGGAACATATAAAGAATAAATGCCTATACGACTGACATTTGTCATGGTACCAAAAACCTTAGCCAGTGGAATAAGGAGAGAAAAAGCAAATGGTCTGGGAAGGTTGAGATAAAATCTTCATGCTAACAATCCACACCTCTCTGGAACTTTATTTTGAAACGTGCTCAGAGACAGTTCAATTTAATATCAGAAAACATGTTTTGAAAATACAATTAAAAATTCCATAAAGAAGGGTAGCACCTATGTGAAGTCGAAAACTTACCACCTATGGCACTCTTACATCGGCATTCTTAAATCAGTTAAGGGTTTTATTAAGATCTTTGTTTGTTCAGCTAGTACTATCAAAAGGTATTCAAAATTAAGACAAGCATTTAGCCTGAGCAAGCAAGTCATTCATCTGTCCTTACAAAAAAAAGTAACTCAAGGGAGACAAAAATATTAAGCTTATTTTTACTTACGAAAACAACCACTGGCCAGAAGTGGCACCGTATTAGTACTGGCAGGGCTCTTAGTGTGGCAGACTGTAGGATGTGTGTGAACTGAACAACAGGATGGGAACATCACCAAGGAGATTGTAGAATGAAAGCATGGAAGAACAAAAATCCTTATTGTGCAGAGTAATAATCTGTGACTAATTCAGTATTATGCACCCAATCTATTTTATGCAGGAGAAAACATTGCTCCCCCTCATCTCTGTGCTAAAATAAGCCAGTGCAATTGGGTTATGGAATAATTAAAAGATACACAAGGTGCATTTTATAAGGACTTGATGATCATCAGATTAGCATGCATTTTGCGTTAAGGCAATTCAACTTTACTAACCTTTGACCAGATCTCGTCTAACTTTTAAAACTGCTCCAAGGTCACAGTCAGCAGTAGCATAGGCATGAGGCACAGTACTTTTTGATTCAGTTAACCTCTTGGCAATAACTCTTCGAATATTGCTGGCAGGAATTTCAGTGAATGTGCCCTGCAATTAAAAAAAAAAAAAAAAAAAAGGCAATTTGTCCCCAAAACATAAGTAGAATGAAAGAAAAAAAAAAAAAAAAAACTACCTATCTGAAATCCTGGAGACCTAATAATTTATGATACAAAAGATTAATTTAAGGAAAGTACTATTAAAATTATTTGTATAAAGGGGGAATATAAGAAATCTAAGTATTTGGCTTGAGTTTATACAACCAAAATAGCAACAAAACATAGCAAAATTTAAATTTCAGTTATGAATAAGACATCTTGTATTACCATGTTTAAGATAGCTAGAAATAAACCAATCCATCATCACCATGTACATATGTACCATGTGTATACACACAAGTATGTACAAACATGTTGAGTATGGGAGGAACACACCACTATATACATATATACAATGCATATATGTGCACATACACACAGGTATGTTGAGTATGAGAGAATACAGAAAGAAATATCTACCTATCCATCCAGACAGTCTGTAGGCAATTTTTGTTACAAATACTGACTATAGGCAAGTCTTATAAAAATGGCATATTGCAGAAAAAGGCAACACACTACATAATGAATAATCAGTTATAGAACATGCATTTTTGTGATTTAAAAATAATGAGTATCTTATTTCCTAGAAATTCAAAATATAAAATATAAATGAGATAATAAAAATCTTCCTGTAATTTTAATATAAATTTTCTTGTAAAGGCATGGGCATCCAGTTATGTTTAATCCCTTCCTCATCCTTATTCTATTCTAAAATGGAATTATAGCCACCAAAGGATAATAAAAAAAACAATAATTTATTTTTCTTTTTACAAATGATATTTTAAGGGCAGTTTCTGTTAGCAAAGTGTTCTGATCACATAGAATACATGGTCTCTATATTCTGTGAGCATCTTAAAGACGTACCTTCCTACCTTGAATAACCTACTACAGCCACTTTAAGGAAGATCTGACACTAGCAAATTTTTGTACAGACAGTACAATGTTAATGTGCATAAAAAATGTTGCCCATGAAAGTCAGTCCTCCGTTCTTGCCAAGTATGATAATAAACAATCTTCTCTGTCAGTGGGAGCAATGTGCATTTACGACCCTGATTTTAAAGGGACAGAGAAGAAAAATGGGATAAACAGAAGAAAAACAATCTTGACACTGCTTGTCTCAGAGGAAGAAAGTGGACTGTGTTGTATGGTAATTCTAAATAGCTCTTCATTCCCTCAACAAAAAACAAATATACCCATAAACAGGAGCTGTGAATTAGTCTTACTTCCAAGGAAAAATGCCATGATTACAGCACACATGTACTGTACTGAGGGGTTACAACTCATGGGAAAATGGAACGGAATCACAGTTCTACTTGGGAGACAGTGCCAAACAAACAATTCTGTTTGTGCCACGAAATCTACAAGAAAACCACTTGGGGTACTCTCTATGTTTACAACTTTAAGCTACTGTTTAAATGGATTGATAAAAAGTACTTATAAGCACACAGTACCCATTTTTATTTTCTTTCTAATGTATCTAAACAATAGAATCTTACTGAGAAGACCTCACCGCTGCATTAGGTTGCCCAGGGATGGATACTGGTGGGAACATTGGCCGAGGGTAAGATGGCCCAGCTGTGGCTTGAGGAGGCACAGATGCTGAGACAGTGGACGGAGGAGCTGCGGCTGGTCTGGACTCAGTAATCTTGCCCATCTGTTTCAGCTCAACTAATTTGAGTGCATCTCTGGAAATGAGAGGAAACTGGACAATCATGAAACAGGAAGGAATACAGACAGTCTTAGAAAACAGTGCTGAGGTGTGAAAGGAAGATAAACACTAAAAACAAACAAATACTACAAAATCTAAGCAAGCCTTTCCCTAAACCAGGAGTTCTCAACCTGCAGGATGCGACTCCTTTGACGTTGCATATCAGATATTTACATTACGATTCATAACAGTAGCAAAATTACAGTTATGAAATAGCAACAAAATTATTTTATGGTTGGGGGAGGTCACTACAACATGAGGGACTGTATTAAAGGGTCCCAGTGTTAGGAAGGTTGAGAACCGCTGGCCTAGATGGTCTTCTGATTCTTATTAGGTATCCAATGGGTAGTTATACATTTTCAAAACCCAATTAATAATTTGAATTTATAATAATTAGAACCAGTGGGCATATCTGAGATAATTATTTCCCCCCCAAACCCTCTTGCTTAACTTAGCATCTTATGGCAGCATAGTAAGTAGAATCTGTGACAGGTCTATCTATTTGATCCCAGAGTGTACATAACCCCTCAGTATTGTGTAAAGATAGTAATTTGTATTAAAAAGTAAACTTGTCTTTTATTGGAAAACAAGTGTCACTAGTTAGATGAGCAATGCAGTAATTAAAACATATTTTACTTTATGTTCATGAGATAACTGTCACATGGCATTCAGAAAGTGCCAAGTTCATAATGCCAACGGCTTTCATTAGAATACTTCCTAAATTAGTATCACTTAGAATGGAAAAACTAAGCTACTTACAGACCTGTCTTTTGGACTACTTTGTAAAACAAAGGTGCATTTGTTTACAAAGGGATATAATTAAGACTCTAAGATATGTGAAGTCCTCAGTTCAGTTTGCTAGGTTATAGTTAGCAGTCAACTTGACACAGCCTAGTCATCTGAGAAGGGAGTCTTAATTAAAGGACTGCCCAGGTCGGACTGGCCCGTGGGCATGTCTGGGGGGGGGGGGGGACTCTCTTGATTGTTAATTGATAAGAGGAGGGCCCAGCCGACTGTGGGTGGCCCCAGTCCCTGTGCAGGTGTTCTTGGAATATTTTAGATGAGAGCTCCAACTGACAAAGCAATTGAAATGCTACATCATTCTGGATTCCTAACACTGAAAGAGTGGGGGAGGAGGAGAAAGGTGAGCCCTCCAAGTGTCACATGTGTCGCTTATGTTATGCCACTCACATCAACCAGGTGGGCGAGGTACTACTCCTCATTTAGACACATGTGGACTCAAAACAGTTAAACTCAGTATCTAACTCAGTCTGTCTCAAGCACCCACTCATTCCAGGTGCTGGGAGAAAATGTCGTTAGACAAAACTCTTCCCACAAAGTTTTATTCTCCAGAGGAGTTATCCATCAGTCACATGAACAAACCATAGCAATGGTAACGCATCCTTAAGAAGGAATAAAGCAGAGTAATGAGACAGTGAGTGAGAAGACTGGTTATTTTGAAACAGAGAACTGGGGGAGGCCTGGGCAGATTGGACCTTTGCAGGATGGTGTAGGTGGGCAGGTTAAAGGACTGGGAGAAGGGTGTCTATGTGGCTTCCAAGATGAGCTTTTGAAGAGACGGAAGACCAGAATAGAAATGTAGTGAGCAAGGTGAAGAGGTAGGCAGCTGAGTACAGCCAGGCTTGGGAACACTTGGGTACGCCCAGGTTCAGAGAGAGCTACAAAGTCTGTGTGTGTCTTCTACCTCTCTAAAAGCAGTGGACATGCTATGCAAATGAAATAAAGTGAAAGCAGAGCTGTCTCCTAAGAACAGACTAGCGAGGTATTAATCCACAATGGGTAGACTGCTGGGATTGAACAAGGAATTAGGATATGCCTAATTCGGACAAGGGCCCTAACTCACCAGACACAGTCACAGAGGAATGGCTGGTGACAGAGTGGCAGAGGCAGTGAAGGGACAAGTGTCCCCAGGAGTGATTTGTGGACCTTTATGGCTTTTAACCAGTTTACTTCTACTTGGAAATCAATTTTTACCCATAATATTTATAACCCAATTTCAAATTGTGTCAAGGTCAATGACAGCTGACACAATTCCTGGAGACTGATGTCATGAGCCCAAGGACTAGATGAAAATGTAAGCACTGATATAAAATAGGACCCACTGACCCAGAACGATGCCTCCATGAAAGGAATTTCCTTTTCTAGAGCGCTTATAAGTTACAGTCCAACGTTATAGTCTGTATTATCCCCAAATAGCAGACACATTTTCTTACCCAGATTTTTACCTTTGTCAGCCATCAGATGAAAACAAACCCAAGGAGCTGGTAAAAATCTAACAGACCAGTACCTGACTCATCAATCTAAAAACGAGAGTGGGATGTTAACCTGACACAGCCCTATTTCCCGTGGGCATGACTGATTTATCAAGGAAGACATGATTTGGTTTTACTCTGAAGTAATTAAGATTACTGGGTAAAACAGTACTTGGTGAGGAATAAAAGTGAAGAGGAACCATTAATCATAAAAAAAAAATAAGTAGAAAATAATTCTGACCAGAGATTTGCAATAATTTTTTATTATTGATTTTACAATTATATAGCTCATGAAGTGTAAATATTAATTATTGTTTAGTAACAGCCAACAATTTAGTTTCTATAACGCAGAGATGATTTTAATGATTTCTGCCCATTAAAACAATTAATCAGATTCAACTGGAAGCATTCACTAGGCATTAAGAACGCTAAAACAGGAGAAAACAAATGAATTACTTCGGAAATTAGCTCAAGTAGAAGCTTTCCCACCCCTCAGAAGGTAGTTAACTCTGGTGCGTCATCAACTAATTTTAAAGACTGTTACTTAAAACCAGACAACTGCCAACACGCCAAGTTCTGATGCTGTGGTTGACATGAACAAAAACATTAAGTCCAATTCTGATCTAATAGTTAGACACACCAAAGATATTAAGGCAAAGACTAACACTGCTCACGAGCCTCTGACTGTAGCCTGGCACTTGTCTCGAAAGAGTCCTTACAGGCAGGCTGGTTGATGACTCCGTGCTTCTGCACAAACACATACCTGGAGAACTACCTCTGTTTTCACATGGAATTAAAAGCCAGCTCTGAGCCTCTGCTCTTCTCCACAGACACAATGGCTCTGAGGTGCTCCTTACTGGCCAGAACCGCTGCCATACCACTTGCCCTGCATTCTCAGCTAAGGAGGAGCAGACAGGAGATGGCACTCATCATTTCCAGAGCGTGTTGTTAGACATACTGGGGGAAGCTCAGGCCAAAGCCTGGAGCTTTACAACTGTTTCAGAAGAGAGCATTTCTTCTGAAATGAGACACTGGCGCAATGTCTCTCTCTAAACTCCACCTTAATGTCAAATAGCATACAGAAGCAAAAACCCTCCATAGTGCATGCCCTAAGGATCACTTTTTTTCATGAAATCTGTAAAGGTTCATCCTGAGAAGACTCAAGTTGACTTCCTTCTGGTAGAGAAGGCATAAAGGCTGGGGAAAGAACTGGGAAATGGTGGGAGAAAGAAGGCAAAAGCATTGTAAGCACAGCTCTTAACACTGTTCCCTTAGAGCATCAAGAAGCTAACTGTACTAACAGAGTTTACACCAGTTCTTGAAATCCTTGTGTATGCATTAAGCATAGTGGCACTCACACCTGGCATGCAGGAGAAAGGCTGTTCTTGTTCAAAGGCAGCCCAGTCTATGTAGTGAAACCCTGACTCAGGAAAATAAGAGCAGAAAGTCCCAGGTCTTTGTGCCCCTGCTGCCCTACCACGAAGCTGCTTTCCCAAAGGGCACCTAGTCACCAAGTTCAGGAACCTTTCCTCAGACCTACATTCCTTGACTTGTGCACCATTTCCCAATATCCCACCACAGATATTTAGTCTTCTAAAAGATGCTGCTGCTGCTGATCTGGATGACAAGCACCGCTTTATGATCTACTCAAACTATCTCCTTCATCTTCATCACAGGCTCTTGATCCCTGGAAGGCTTCTCAGTGCTGACAATAAGCTTAGACATCAGGCACTCTGCTAAGGCAAACGCTTCTTCAAAGCCCTTATTCAATCTACTTCTGGAGCCAGGATTTCCACTACCCAGACCAGGATCCCAGATGCACACTCTAGATGGCTCCTGCATGACTTCCAACCACGTTAAGGGCAGTATTCATTATCTCCTGCCTATATTACTTGATGAGCCTTACCTTAACTGATCCCATTGCCTCAGAGGCCCTTATCTGTTGCAATTTATACTGCACGAACTTGCCATGCTGAGCCTTCTCAGGTTATAGCTATAATTATTTTGCATTTTTTCAAATCTTCAGTGGTTAATGAATTAAACAGACCCTTTATCCTATCCCTCAGATAACAGAGCAGGAAAACGTCTTATTATGAAAATTATTGTTTTTTCCATTTTTGCAGAGTTCTACTAAGGTACAGACTGGTAGGTGACTAACAAAATTAAGATATAAACTAGTGAAAAACAGACCAGCTTCCCGGGCCAGAACCACCATTTATTTCTATTCGTTCTACCTAAATTTATAAAAATTCTAGCCAACATCATCATTTCCAATCAATATTAGCTAAGCCTAGAATAAACACACTTCTAAAAACATGAATTCAGTCTCAAATATTCAGGGACTGCCACCAACAAAGGTGCACACATCTGTAGAGAAAGGCTCATCTGTATTAACAGACTCTTAATAGACAGTTTTAAACAAAGATGCACCAATTTCTTGAATAGGAAGTCGTCCACATAAAGAGGTCAGTTCTTACTAAGCTAATTCAACACATTTCATAAATGACCATGTTCTCCTCCATCTGAAGAACCCTAAGAGCTGCTTTACATTCACAAAGAGGATATACCAATAAAGCTACTTTGTCGAAAAAAAATGAACAAGGGAAATCTGATATGTCTATCAGATTTTAAAGTATACGACAAAACATTTATAATTAAAATGGTATTAACTCACAGACAGATCAATGAAAGAGAAAAGGAAATCCCCAAAGAGAAATAACTGCAGATGGAGACAGCTCTGGAAAAAGTAAATAGTCTGAGGGGCTAGGAATTAAACTATTTTAAAAGTCTACTTCCAGCCGGGCGCTGGTGGCGCACGCCTTTAATCCCAGCACTCGGGAGGCAGAGCCAGGCGGATCTCTGTGAGTTCGAGGCCAGCCTGGACTACCAAGTGAGTTCCAGGAAAGGCGCAAAGCTACACAGAGAAACCCTGTCTCGAAAAACCAAAAAAAAAAAAAAAATAAAAAAAAAAATAAAAAAAAAAAATAAATTAAAAGTCTACTTCCATATCCAGGCAATGGAAATGTGATTGGCGATTTTATGCCACTTGCAGGATGTTTCTCTGCTCTGAGCTCTCGTTTTCTGCATTATCACCAGTTCTAAGGATGTGGCTTAGTTACTAAATTAGACCTATTTCTTAATAATGGTGCAATTATTCAGAAAACAATCTTTGCATAGACTATAATTTACACTAACAAAAGGAATTAAAACCACGAAAGAACAGTGTACCTTGTTTTAAATTTCAACACAGAATAAGCTCTTTAAAAATCTTTTCAGAAAAGGCAAGTGAAGGGACTGAGGACGCACAAGCACACACATACTCTTTAGTGAAGATCCCTCGAGGGCCTGTGGCTGTGCCCTGGCTGGCATCCAATGAATATTTTTCCAGAATGTTGCGGGCAGCTGGACTTAAGCGGAATCTAAGAATGAAAAAAAATGAAGATGAATGAAACTAATTAACACTTATATTGATTCAAAGAGATCCAAATGTCAACAGTTTTGCTGATAATTAGGAAAGTGAAATCTTAACCCTGAAGCTCATAGCTGGTCAGTCACAGTCACATAAATTACATCAATCTATTTTATTGTCAAGATACTTTAAGAAAGCAGAAAGGAGTTACCAATTCTAAATAATCTTTAAATAAGGGTAAATGTTCACTAGGATAAAGAACATCCAATTTGACTGATTACATGTCATATGACTCTGCATCACAGATACCAATAGGGAACCAACCCATGGTGCTCCTTCCTACACTTAGCACAGTACAACTATAAGCTAACTTTCTACTCCAAGCACTTTCCGTATATAATGGAGTAGCTTTGAGAGCACGTACATTGCTGTGCAGCCACCAAGGCCATCTATCACTGGATTCTCTCCTCTTCCCAAATGCCAACTCTGCACCCACTCAACAGTAACTCTTCATCCTCTGGCCCCGGCAACCACTGTTCTACTGTCCCTCCCAATGGAGTCTTTAGGAATGGAAATGGAAAAATACAGTGTTTGTGCTTTTGTGGCTGGTTTGTTTAATGACTTAATCTGTGTACTAGTTAGTATGTATCAGATTATCATTCCTTTCCAGGCTAAATGTTTGTCCATATACATAGCATTTTAGAAGTATGAGTTGTTTCTACTACTGTGAGGAATACATGAACACAGATTCAAGAACACTGAATCTCTGCTTTTGATTCTTCTGTATACAGATCCCAGAGTATTAGACGTTGCTGGATGACAGAGAAATCCTACTTGTGATTTTTCTGAGGACTTGCCATGCCGTTTTTTCATGGCAACCTTTTGACTTTACATTCTCACTCGCCTATGTTCAAGGGCTCTTGTTTCTCCACATGCACTTGCTATACTCTGGGGCTTCTGAAAGCAGATATCTCGAGGGGTGTGCAGTGGTGCCACATAATGGTAGAGTCCATTTTCATGTGTCTACCAGCCACCTCACCAATGGAAGAAGTAGCTCTAAGCCCTTCTCCCGCTTCTAATTAGACTGTTCTGCTATTACTGCATTGTACCTTTGATGTATGTCTTCAAGTTCTTAGTATAAACATGAACACTCCAGCAGAAAACGCCACTGATTTTTACAGACAAAGAACTGAGGTACACACGGTCCTATAGCTGATAAGTGTAGACTCTCCTTTAAGCAAAGTAGCTACTGTAAATGTCTATGTACTCAGACAAAGAAGTAAAACAAGCTGGGTCAGATGGCTTAAAAGGAGCAAATAGAGGGGGGCAACTGTGATGCTCCCTAGGATTGTGGAGAAATAGACCCAGGTGAAAGGGTCTTATGCTACCAAGTCTTTATTAGTTTTTTCAAGACACTGAAATTTAAGATCATTTTCTGTAAAACAAAACTGATTGACTGCAAAGCAATTTTGAAAAGCTACCGTGTGGTCAATATTGTGTACTTCCATGGGTCAGGTGGTTTCGACAGGTCATGGCAGATTCTTGGCTAATGTCTAATCATGGCTAGTCTTAGCAAGACAGAGCACACACACAGTGTTATCTCTGCAATGGAGAGAAGACCAGGAAGCACAACACAGGTGACACGGCTCTGACTGTCACAAGTCAGAGAGTTGAAAAGACAGGGAGGCCAGGCATGGAAATCAGAACACTCTGTGGTAAAAGGAACTAAAAAATCCTTACTGATTACCCAGATCCGATCATTGTACACAGTACTCTTTGATCAAATTATCACAGTTCTCACAGTATGCTTTGTCAACAGTAATATTGGAGCTGGTGCATGAGCACCTGAGTTTAGATCCCCAGTACCCACATCAAAGCCGGGTGTAGAGGTGCGGATCTGCAACTCTGGCACTGGTGAGGCGGAGACAATGTTCACAAGCACCTGTACTATCACAGAATGGTTGGGGAAAACGGATCCCTGTCAGAATCTCAAATACGGAACTGTTTGAACAGGAACACATGTTAAAATGACAATCCCATCTTGTATCAATTGTACTCTGGAGACTAGAATTCACATTTTAGTAATTAGAATTCTGTGAATGGGAACACAAAAATGAAGCTTGGTCTCATGAGTGTCATTCTGCAATTTTAGAACTTAATTCAGGTTCAATTAGGATACAGACGATTTTATTCAACACTAGGCAAGCAAGGCTTTTAGAGGGCCCAAACAAAACAGGTATTCACTAACATTTATTGAATGAAGAAGGATGTAAAATAATCAGTTACATTTCATTGTCCTAAGAGAAAAAGTGAAAGGCCAGCAAATCCCAATGAAAATGCTTTGAACAGGATACTGACTTCAAACCCCAAAACAATCATAACTTTTTTTTACATTACAACAATCATGTTTTATTGAACATACATGTTCAAATAAACACACTCACCGTGCTGTCCCTACTGTGTGCTCCTTCCTAGCAGGGCTCGAAATCTGTGGTTGTGGAGAGGGCTGAGGAGGCACTGCTGGCTTGGAAACTGGAGGTGGAGCACCGATGTCTTTGGGAATTTCCACAAGTTTCCAATCTTCTCCTTCTTCAACCATCAAGCCAATGAGTGAACCCAGCTTTATATTTTTAGCTCCTTCTTCAACCTGTATTTTTTTTTTTAAATTATGGTCGGAAATGGAAAGATCCAGGATCACACAAAGTCACTAATTCTACACTTGCAAGAAAGACCAGAACAAGATGGGGTTCCTCTTCCAACTGCTACCTTCTGCCTCCTGCACCCCGCTCACTCCTCCTCCTCTTCCAAGTACTAATGCTGCCTTTAGAAATGAGCAAGACCCAGAATAGCTCCCTCTGCTGGCAGCCTTCAAAACCAGAGCTTCTCCTCACTTCATGTCTATTCATTACCATCCTTGAGGCTGTGGTTACAGATGTCAATTATCTCCAGTAGTTTCTACAACGCTTTCAGAATTTTAAGAGCTCATAAGGGGTTAACTTAAACAAATTAGTCCTATCTACTAGGATATAATTTTAAGTAAAATTTTCTCAGTAAATTTAGTCTGTGGGGAGAAAATATCCTATTATGCAGATAAAGATAGTTAACAATTGTGGTTAATTTAAGGATAGTTTATATCTTTCCCTATTACTTATGTCTTTCTTGGAATATCGACTTAAAAACCCAGAAAATATCTCATGAGCTTTTCATAAGTGCATCAGTGATATAGTGGTGTCCTAACTAATGAGCTAATATTCAGATAGTATCTGTCAACTAAAAATCTAAATAAGATAAAGATGTTTTAAAGACAAAAATACTTTAAACATGTCAACAACAATTTATTTAGTAAAAGATGACACTATTGACTAGTTTTGGTAGTGGGAGACAATGCTCTATTCCTTTAAGATTTCCTCTTCTTCCCTCTCAACTACTAATGTTCATTACAGATCGGTTTCATGAATAGTATGACAGGCTGGAAGACGTTCACTGATGTAACAATTACCATCAAAAGCATGACTTGTGGAATGTGTGACATTTCAAAGTAACACTAATTTTGATGTTTATTAGTAAGTACACTATCCTTAAATTTAAAATAAGTATAAATTCTGTGAGCTAGGAAGCTTTACAAGCTTAGTAATTACCAGTGGAGAAAATGGGAACAAAGGTTTAGCTAAGACTTTCATATATGTATAAGATTGGAGCAAAAAAACCAAATAAATAAAGAGGTATTTATAAGCTTTGGAAAATACTAAAAAAAATTATTTTAAACTTAGTTGCTTAGCTGTTTGTCATACACCAAAACATGTTATTTCCATTGACTATTAATTTCCTTTAGCACTTTTTATTTTTATAGATTTATTTACACTAGTTTATGAGTTTTGCCTACATGTATGTCTTCCTGGTGCCTATGGAAGTCAGTTTCAGATTCAGGATGTTGTTCAAGTCACCCTTCAGAAATCTACTTAGATTTTCAAAGTGAAAGCTTTCCCCAAAACTGTTCTGCATTTGAATCTTGGCTTTTTTTTTTTGTTTTTTTTTTTGGGGGGGGGGGGTTCTTTGGAAGGGGGTTTGGTTTTTTTGTTTGTTTGTTCTGTTTCACTTACTACAAAGCATCCACGTTAATTATTCCACACACACCCCGCGACAATGACAACACTTTCACCATCAGTTAGTAACCAACTACATCAAAATACCAAACAAAACTTAGAGTACTCACACTTTTTCCTCACTTAAAAAAATGACACAATGAAGCATATAATGGAAAAGGACAGATCATATACCACCCTACAGCCTGACTAATAGAAGTTAAAGAGTGGTCATAATAGTTCTACTTAATGTCATTAAAATCTTGAAATGAATTTAAGACATTGCCTATTCCCTTCACACATGCTAGTTTGGTGCAGACATTTGCTTCTGCTGTATTTAGCAAACAGTCAGAGCTTGTTCAGACACAGTAACAGAAGCATAAACATCGTCTGCAAAACTGCACTTAGAAACCTATCAGGCCTTCCCTCCTTCCCCTCTCCTAGCTTGTTGCTCCAGCAAAACACTCAAGTCTGAGGACAATAAGCATCCAAGATGTCCTTACTGTCTTACTCAATCAAAACCCTTCACTGCTCTTATGCCAATGTGCTTTAATACTAAATGAAGTATTTTCACTCTCTGTTCTACTCACAGCTGGTAAAAAGATCCTGAATCTTGAGTCTGTTCGGGTCAACTGTCTTACCTCCCTTGTGTATAGATAGCTTCCTGGGTTTCAACACTGGCTTTGCTACAATAGCTAGTACTAACTGGCTATGTGAGCACAGTAATGATTATTTCACCATGCCTGTTTCTTGATCTGTCAAGTGAAGACAGCAGCAGTAGCTATGGCACAGATTTGTTTGTTAGGAGGGATAAAGAAGTTCAGATATAAAGGATTTAGAACAGTGCCCGACATTTCACAAAAACAGTAAAAGTATAATTATAATTTCTGTGTTTACCTTCAAGTTATTAATTTTTAAAACAAATATACTCAACAAGGATCAATATTAAACTACAAAGTACATTTGGTAAGGATGAAATCATGCCTAATAAGTCAGCACATATTCAGGACTGTAATAAGAGACAAATTGCCTCCTGATAATATTTAATAGAGGATGAATTGCACCCCTCAGCCTAGCTAGCTCCTACAGGATTTTTTTTTTTTTTTAAACCAGAGATGCTCCCGTAAGCTGACACTAAGTATGGTAAATATGCTAAACCCAGCTCGGGTAGGCTTACTAGCAGACTCAAAGGGCAGGATGCTGAGATGTAGACAAAGTGTCTACAACAGGACTCCCAGCTGAAAGGGTGTCTGAGAGTCCACTTCATCAAAGACACTAGTAAAGGCAGGTGTGGTGACACACACGTAACCCAGCATTCCAGAGGTGGGCGCAGGAGAATCTGGAGATCAAGAGATACTCAGCTACACAGGGAATCAGAGGGCAACCTGAGCTACTTAGACCCACTGTCCCTTATGAAACACAAATACAACAAAAGCTAACAATAAATGCTATCTTTTTAATTTTGGCATTAGAAAATAACCAGCGCACTAAGTAATTATTTAAATATTTTTATTCTCTTAAAATTGAACTGATTACTGAAGTTCAAACAGCAGCTAGTGCAGAGGAGTTGAGTCTCATTACCGATATATTAATTCAGGTCTCTACACAGTTTTAAATAGCTCTTACTTTTCAGTATTACCTTCTTAGTTTACATGCACACTGAACTTCAACTTAAAAGGAAGCAATATAAGAAGTATGAAAGGGTAAGCAAAACACATCAATGACAGTTACAATGCAGAAAATGACAGCTACAATGTAGAAGAGACACTAAGTCCAAGTAAATAGTTGCCTGCCTTCCCAGGGCCGGACAAGGTTCTATTGATGCGTCCAATGCATCTGACAATCCAGGAAGTAAATTAGTATTCCAATAAACAGATCAGGAACCTGAGGTCCAAGGTTACAACTTGCTCAGGATGCCACAGCTAGGATTTAAATGAACTGACCACAGACAGCATGACTTAGATCAGCACCATGTCCATTAGTTAAATCACAACCTTCTGCTCAATGCTGCTGCCTTTCATCTCAAGTTGGTGCAGTATCTATACAGTGGACATAACTGACTTACTTTTTAACTCATGAAGAACACCCTCAAAATGCATCACTTACCAATTTCAATATGAAAAAGATTAGAACTGAGAGCAGCCTCCATTTGGTAGATTAATTTTCTCTGAGCTTTGAGAGAGCACTTTCATAAATATAAATATCATGGTCTACAGGGATTAACTCAAGGTTATACAGGTTCAAATTCTAAGCATAAGCCTTCAAATTCTAATATGTATCTATGGAGGCAATTGTGGGCAATTTAATGAAAGCAAGGGGTAAAATTACAAAGCTGAACTGAAAAATTCAGTCTTAGAAAATAGCAATGCCGTGGCTTTAGAGAAACAGTTGGCACTGTAGAATAGAATAGTGCTGTAACTGTTCAGTTCTTTTTAATATCCAGATATGCAAGTCTTTTCTTAAGTGCTTTACTATTCATGGAACTTTGTGTTAAGACAGGGTTTCATAGAGCCCACCTAGCATGGCGTCTAACAAGCTATGTAGGTAGCTGTGACCTTGAATGTCTGATCCTCCTGTCTGCACCACCGCAGCTGCTGGTGGTGTTGCTCCCTCCAGCCCACAAGGTATTTAATGTGCGCGCGCGCGCACGCGCACACACACACACACACACACACACACACACACACACACACACACACATCTCAAATAAAGATCCACTGCTATGGAAAATTATCAGTGAATCAGTGAGACGGCTGAGTGGAGACACAACTAAGCTTGTGCTCTAAGTTCGATCCCCAGAACCCACGTGGCAGATGGAGAGACCCGACTTTCACAAGTTGTCCTCTGACTGCCACACGAGCATCAAAGCAAGTGCTCATGCGTGAACACATACAAGTATACACACAGAACACATATTTTTTATTTCAAAAAGTTAGAAAGTTTAATTATATATTGGATTATATACATATATGTAATATTTGCCATAGAAAACTAAACACTGTGAAAGCAGGATCAGAGAACTTCTAATAAACCCTCTCAATATGTAATTCTAAGCCCAATCTGCTGAATACTAAATGAAGACTAAGCTAACAAACTGATTCTACCTGTATAATAATTAAAAATTTCTGCACAACTTTCTTTGATTCAAAGGAAATTTAAAAGCCCTTGTACTAAATGAAATAAATTGGAACTAGACCACAGAATTATTCACACCAACAGTATTTATTCTTAATGAACTATTAGGGGCATTTAAGCATCTTCTGGTTCTAATTAAAATATAATAAATATTCTACATTTCAATGGAATTTGGATACAAAAACTATAACACTGCTTACAAAGATAAAATTGTGTGACAGGAGAACACAATCCCAGTGACCAAGGAATTACATTACCAAGAGTGAACAAGTTATACTTTGTAATTGTCCCCAAACTGTGTATCCTACTACACTACTGCTGTCGTGGTAACAGTTGCAGGATGTATTTAACAGCACCCCGTCTTTAATAAGCTCAACGATTTAACCACCTGACTCTGAAAATAAAAACCTGTTGCACATCTTCCTAGCAAATCATTTTATTACGTTTCCTAACATGAGGATTATTGCACAATGAAAAGCAAAGACAGAGCTCTTGCTTGGCCAGAGAAGGATGGAAGGAAAATAGGACTAGAAATACCACCTTAGTGGCTTCTGCTCCCGTTTGCCTGGTAAAACTGCATGCCGGCCGCAGTATATGCTTCCTCTTTCCATTACTCAGAAAGCATTACGATAATACTAAAGTCACAGAGGCCTAAAATCTATATTCATTCTTTCCTCTAGTGGGAAAACAGCAGTCACTAAAACAGCCATCAACTGTATCCATTTCTCACCTCTTTTCAGGGCATTAGAACCGGAAGGACGGACACCACTGACCCGCTGGAATGGCTAGCAATTTGAAATGCATTACTGAGCAGTTAGTGGAAAATGCTATTATTGTGGGAGACTTACACAGCCCAACAATCCAGAGTTGCTGCCAAGAACAGGCTGCCAAAGGCACAGACAAGAAAATGTAGTTGAGTTTGAGGCATATGGTAAATCAAGCAATCTTTTTCTTTTGCAAAATACCATAAAATTACTAAGCCAACTACTTTTGGTATGGATTTTTCCAGTTAAAAAGACAGAAAAAATTTACCCTTCAACTCACATTTCCTTCCAGTGCATTAACTGTTGTTCATCCGTGTGTTTTAACTGGGCTGCTGATAACATACATGGCAAGAAATGGATGTTGGAAATACTACAGTGTTAAGAATAAAACATCAAAGGCTAGAAAAACTAAACACCAACAAGATCATTTTATAGTAGGAAACACAAGTGACAGAAAGAAGGTCTATACCAAACTAGAGTATAAAATCCTAAAGTACTGTGTATGTGGACAGACTAGACAAAAGCAGGGTTAGACCTAAGCGTCACCTAGAGACAAGCCAGGGTCTCAGATCCAAACACCCCTTCACAAAGGACAGCCAACAGAGGGGCAGCTTGCTTGTGCAATTCAAGTGGTAGAAAAAATCAACCAATCCGACATGGGACTAACGGTTACCAAGAGCCAAGTAAACAGTGGCAGCATTACTGGATTCTGTAGTGAACACTGGCGTATTTTCCTACTTAATCTTCCTCACTACTACATGACTCAGATCGTCTCCACATTCTAAAAGAAAGACACCAACAAAATGAATTTGCTGCTCATTACACGTCATGTAGAACCAGCAGCACCTTTCAATTACTATCAACTTGGCAGTGACTGTGGCCCACAGTCTCAGCGCTACAGCAACACCACTGTCTGCTCTAGGGACAGTGCGCCGCCGATGGGCTCTACAGTGAGCACGTGGCGCAGCCCAACAGCCACGCTTTACCCCCACACAGCTTTGAGCCAATCACGTTACCTGCTTTTGTATAAATGGTCTAAAATTCTAGCCTAAAAGCATCATACACATGACAAAATAAAAAAAAACAAAAACAAAATAACAAAAAATGAAAACAAAAAACCACACAAAACTAGGGGGAAAAGGCAATTACTACTAAGTTTTGGCACTAAAACAAGCAAATGCGAATTAAAGATGTATCACACAGTAGATAAGAGGACAAACAGGAGGGACTTTTTAAAAGGGTTACATAAAGAAAGATCACGTCTTACCACTATTTTGGCTAGGATGCCATCGTCACTTGCATCTAATGTGACCACAGCCTTGTCCGTCTCAATTTCACATAAGGAGTCTCCGGCACTCACAGCTTCACCTAAAAAACAAGACTAGGTTTGTTCTGCTGCTCTGCTTTTTGAAAAAATTTTTAAATTACATTTTATTTATCATTTATTATTTGGGGGATGTGTGTGTGTGTGTGTGTGTGTGTGTGTGTGTGTGTGTGTGTGTGTGTGTGAGCATGCAATCCATGGCTCCTGTGTGGAAGTCAGAAGATAACTTGTGGGAGTTGGTACTCTCTTTCAATCATGGACCAAACTCTGGTCATCAGGCTCGGAGGCAAGTGCCTTAACCTGCCGAGTCATCTCACCAGCTCTGTTTTGTTCTTTTACATATGAAAATTACTATGAACATGTGTACAACATGAATTGATAACAAAGTGTTCTGTATTATAGAAACACAAGTAGTTCTCAGTGTGTGTTTGTACATGCCTGCGGATGTCTTATGTCTTCTAAAAACTCTATAATATCTGCTATAATAAAAATGACTAAAGATAGACCAAATATTAAAAATGAATTCATACTTATAGAGATAATAAGAGAAGCATTTTTTCTCTGGGGTAGATAAAGGTTCCATGTCTCTCTATTTTTATTTTTGTTTTTTGAAATGAAGTCTCATGTAATCCATCCTAAGCTTGAGTAGACAAGGATAAGCCTTGGATTCCTGATCCTTCCGCCTCTCAGGTGCCCTTCTTTTTTTTAAAGCACAATTTGACTATTCCATTAAGAGAGAAGTGTTATCATTTATAACAGCTTTTGGTTAACACTGTAGGGCAAATTCAGAAACCCTGACAGCACTACCCAGCACAAGTGAATAAAGCATAAGAAGCATAAACAGAAAATAAAATACATCAGTGAAGCCAACTAAGACCATTTCTATGCAACAGAAACGAAATGAAACTCAAAAGGTGGCCAGGAGCCACCACTGCGGACTGGCAGGTTTCTGGGCTGAGAAGCAGGGAAGAGATGCTGTGGGGCGACAGAATGACCAGTCAAGGCTTGCTGACAGACTATGGCTTCTTCAGGAGCTGAAGGTTAGGAAATGGGAGGGCTGAAACATCTCTCAACACCATGAGCTGTGGAAAGCTACCCCTGAAGACAAAACATGAACAAATCCAGGGCAGGGAACAGGCAGGAGGGAAGACATGGGAACAACAAAAAAACTGTCCACTCAAAAGCAAATCACAAACCAAGGTCCTAAAACACATTAAGAAACCTAATGTTATGAAAACAAAATACACAATAAATAATTGGAACAGAAACTGAATTTTAGAAAAGCTACTGTAGCAAATATTTCCAAATAAATATTTTGAGATAAAATAGCCATTGTAAACACAAGGAATTTTTTAAAAATTACAGAAATGAAACAAAACAGTGTCAAGAAAAAAACCAATTAAAAACTGTGGGAAGAAGTGGAGCCACTGAACTAAGGCACTGATGAGACCCAGCAAAAGCATGGTAATGAAGGAGGCTCCGAATGCACTGAGACCAGCAGACAGAACTGAAGGAGGAGGAAGCAGGTGAGTGACAGCCTGAGGACGGTGTTCTCTCACGAGTTTCGGGGACAGTGGCTAGAGGGACAGCTGAGAACAGCTGTGACGAGACCACTGCGAGATGTATGTTCCCAACACTAGACAGGTGTCAGCATGCGGAATCGGAACGGCTGCGCTGACTAGAACGGGCACATAAAGGGGTCTTGTGGCTTGGACGGAGGCTCCGCACAAGGGAATATGTATGCATAAAAATTAAATGGGCTTCAATATTATACATGCTTTACTTTGATGAAAAATTCAGCAGGGAGCAAGATTATTAGATTGTATAAACATGAATCCACATTTGATAACCAGAGAGACTGCACACTGTGAACAATAGAAAAAACATTTTAAAAAGCTATCAGAGGAAAAAACAGATTACCTCAATGGAATGACAGACTGAGAGCACACTTCAGCAGCTGCAAGAGTCAGAGGACAACGAAGTAACATTCACGTTGAAGAAAAAAATTGTCTGGAATCTCAGACGCAGCCAAACCATAAGTTAAGAATGAACTGTAAAGTATTTTTAGGTACAAAAGTGTAGGAAAATTTACTAATAGCAATTACTTTAAAGAGCTCTTATAAAATGTAGGTCAAGAAAAGCAGTCACAAACAGGGCAGACGGACATGAACAGGACAGATGGACACAAGAAACAAGCTACCACCGGAGGCGTTAATACTCATTTCCTAGTCAAAATGTAGTGCTTGAGGATTTTAAAACGTGAAAACAAACTCCAAAAGATAACAGGATAGGTGAGGGGAAGGTTTAGTGAGTGCTAACTGTGCTCACAACTTCGGTACAGTTAGAAGAAAACTAAACTGAATTAACTCTAGATTCAATTGGCAAAATTTAGGGATTTAAAAATACAAATAAAATCTATAACATTCAAAACTCAGGAAAAACAGAAAACAACAAAATGACTGTCTAGTAGAAATTGGACATATAAGAAATAAAGAGAACAAAAACAGAAATGTCTACAAAATTACAGAAATTAGCCCAGTATATGAGTAATCACAATAAGTATAATGAATTAAAACCATCTGTTATGAGCAGATTATCAAAATGAACACAAAACTAAAATCTTTGCAAATGTGGCTTATAAGACACAGACCCAAACCAAAGCTGAATGAAAATACAGGGACAGAAAAATATGAGATATATAAACATACCTACTCACACATAGTCCCCAGCTGTATGCAGCAGAGATATAACTGGCCAACACAGAGGAGAATAGAAAAGAAAAACCTAAAGCATTAATAAACATGCCATGAAAATTCAATGTACGGAAACTTAACTGTATACGAGAATGAACAACCAGACGTTTTTACCTCAGTTACAGATGCTCAGGACTACCAATAGTAAGTATTTTAATGAAGTAAACTTAGCTGTTAGATGGTATCTACTGAACACCTAAAAGGTCCCTACCTCGTCTAGCTCCAATGGGAAGCTTCTGGTCAACAAATATTTACTGAAAAACGTGTTTGTCCACTGAGGATGCTGTAGTGGAAAATGAGCAGGTTGGTTGGTTTGTTTGAACTTCTGGCCTCAAGAAGCTCCCTGTACACCTAGCGAAAAGTCAACTGGAGAAGGCGGCAGGGCAGGAAGTCAGAATGCTCTGGGACTAGTCAGGAGTGTCATCTAACTCAGTTTCTGGAAGGGAAGAGAAGCTTCCTAGATTAAGAGGACAGCTCCTCAGCCTGAAGGAGTCTGAAAGAGTGATCAGGGGGAAGGGGCAGCGAGCCAGGCAAAGGTGCACACTCAGAGCCCTGGGGGAGAGCACGGCACCCCAGGCACCCCAGGCACCCGGCAAACAGAACAAGGGGGCATGTGGAGACCAGACTGGAGGAAGACAGGAGCAGCCCAAAGAGCAGTGTATGGCAGCAGGGAGAGCAGTGTCCCCACCTCCCCCGTGCGCATCTCTCTCTTCTTAATCACAGATGCTTTAAAAGTCAGAGATGCTCTACTTCCGTGGGTCCCCACCCCAGTGTTTCTGTTGGAGCAATGGGAGAAGTGCCTAGAGCAGGCAATTTTTCAAATGTTTCCTGGATGCACAGACAATAAACTCTGGCCATAAAGAAAAACAAGATAATGTTGTACTAGTTTTCACTCTCATTTAAACACCAACAACTTTTAAAGAACCATGCACAAATTTACTTTGGCATGTAAGTTTCTCAGTCATCAGCTGATTCACTTCTGCTGTTTCTGAATTTCTTTGCTAACTTGAAAAGAATCACAAACTGCCTCAGAAAATGCTTCACTACTGCTGATACTTTCTCCTAGTTACTAGTCAAATGCTTCTTCATAATAGAATTTATTTTGTGTTTTCTACCCCATCTCATTCCCCAAGTCTCAGGCCAGTGCTCCCCCACTTAACTTTAGACCAAAATAGTTTAAGGAAAGCACTGCAGTCACTTCCAAAATCATTGGTTCCTCATATGGAAAATATTAAATAGTCCTTTACATTTACTTGTTTATAACATTTGATTTGCAGCAAGTCTGTAACATCTGAAAAAGACATTCCTTTCTTTCTTTTTAAAGCCACACCTCTCTCTATTAACATAACAGACTGTCAGCAACACAAGCGCTGAGAGAGTTGAGGGAGCATGTGATCAACAGAGCAGGACATAGAAAAACCAGTCAGTTGTTGAACCACAGAGGAGTTTAAAACAGAATGATTACATGAGGAAACACTGCCTGTAATGATCACGAGCCTGAAACTCTAGTAACAGTCACTGTGTGTGCATGCAGGACATTTGAGACTGAGTAATGAGTCCCAAAGATCCAAACCCAGGGCTCCAGTCTGATCAGCATCGCGCTGCCTGCCACAGTAATAACGAGGAGCCTCTGCCATCCCAGACACAAATCATCTCCACAAGTTACTTATCTCTTCAACTTTCAAGAAGATTTTTGAATGTGTAGCTATTGGGGGAAAAAAAAATCATGGACCCAGAAGTTTAATGTTAACACTTCACATACACCTTTAAATAACATTTTGCAACATTTCCTATTAAAAATAAAGTTGCAGATATAGTTCTAGCTAATAAGCCATTAATAATCAAGAAGCAGCCTCCCTCCTTATTCCATAGTCTGTCATTTAAACGTATCATTCAGCAAACATTCATGTATAGGGCACACACACAAGAATGGAAGGCACTAAGAAAGCATTGGCTACAACAAAGGGTCCAGTTCCACCCGGCAGTTTATGTCCTAGTGGTCACTCTTGGCTGAGGCTCACAGGCGGGTTCTCAGCACCACATGGCTGGCTGCAGAAGATGGCAGCTCCTCTGCTTCCTGTACATCTCCCGGTCCATGTCCGTGTTGGAGGTGGAGCGGGCCCGGAACGAGAGTGCGGGCCCCAGGAGGGGCCAAGAGCAGAGGCCCGCCCGGGAGCCGCTCCCCGGCACCGAAGCCAGCAGGCATCATCCTGGTCCTTTGTCCGGATGGGTAGCTGACAGAACTGAGGATGAGGTCCACAGAGACGTCCCTCTCTCTTAAATATGTCATA